TAAGGGTGTGTGTGTGGAGGGGGGGGGGGGGAGAAACTTCACGTCTAAAATACACATAATGACTAGAATCTGTTAGTCGATAGGCGAGTGATCGAATCACAGTAAAAACTCATATTAGATAAGTCCAAATTAGTTTACGAAGTGAGGGGTGATAAAAGTGGAACGGGCGGAAGGGTATTGGGGTTTGTACGGTGAGTGATACAATTTATCTGAGCTCATTCAGGTCATGTGAGGTGAAATACGTGGGGATGGATAGGTTTGTCTGCATCAGAATGGGCGTTGGGAGGGGAGGGGGCATATGAGGATACTAGGGGAGATGAGAGCATATTACAATGAATGAACATCCTCCGAAAGAAAACACGACGGAATTTGGATTCTCTATGCCGGAGCACTGGTTTGTCTGGAGTTGTTTTGTAGCGTCGGCACAGCCTGAACCAGAGTATGTATACGATTCAAATCAGTGTCTAGGCGGGTTTGCAGTTCGTAAATATGGCTGAAATGGGAACAGACAGAGGAGTAGGATGAATCCAGTTGGTAAATATTTGCGCAGTTACAGTGCTCCAAATCACGAATGCAAACAGTACGGATGATATAAGGCAATATATGGTACAAATAAAAACGCAGTTTGATCTCGTTTCTAAATTGCTCACATGGAGTAAATGCCTGCTTCTCAACGGTCAAATATCATAAAGTGAACAAAATGCATCAGTAGCATTCCACAAAAGAAAACGAAGCATTCAACAGACCGGTGAATTAGTTTGAAGACATCTGAAAGCACACAGGAAGAAATTGTTGTCTAAGCGTACAACCAATGCGTCAAAATACGTTGAAACTTGGACCGCTTGGCGAGGCTAGCTAGTGAAGAATACGACATTCGGAGAAAGAAGAGAGAGAGTGGTCGATATGACAGCTCTTGAATGTAAGCTGTAGGAGATTTTGGGAAGGCTGGTCAACCCTCCGTTGCACATCGCGAAATGCTTCTATACGACCAAGTGGCTTAGATAGTCTCTGTTGCGGAAGCCCTATTCACTACCCTCCAGTGGCGGAGGTGTTTTCCCACCAAGGAGGGTTGGCCGGAAACCCTGATTCGAAACTACCCAAAAAGAGGCGTACGAACTACGCACACATCTTTCTGGTTGTGGCAGTGGTCACCGGTTCGATTGAGCCTCAAGGTTTATTGAGCACCTTGGACAATTAATCCCGCCCGAGGGGTGTATGATCCTATGATCTAGACACCGGTCGCAAATGGACTGCGGCTTTTACACAGTGTCCAGCTGACGTTCGAGGCAGGCTTTGGTTAGCTAAGGGAACCGGTTGCAAAGTACCCAAGAAAAGTCACGTCTTATATATATATATATGTCATGCAACGTTTTTGGAAAGAGAACTGTTGGAGCAGAATGTCGACTCTATCAGCACCGCTCTTCCTGTCTACATGTTCCAACATCTCCACAAGCATATTGGTAAGCTGCGGTATGCATCGCTTCTAACTTTTTTACTCTGGTTCATCCACCTACAGAAACAAACTTTTGAATAAAAATGAAAACACCGCGTACTTTATGGAAAAGCATATAATTTTGCTATCAAATGGTTTCAGTTGGCAGCATGAAATGAGTTCAGGGGGTAAGTGGAGTACGAAAGCGTCGAGATTTGGATGTAGGGATGTACAATGCCTTGGTCTTTTTTACTGAAAAATTCAGCACTTGGTCACACTGTTTGGGAACCTTGTAAAAGATTCATCTCCAAGACTCAGCCTCATCAATAACGACGAGACTGCACCTTGACGTGGTGTGATGGCCCTCGTGCCTCCATGACCCTACGAGCTACACAGGATGGCTTTTCACAGCCGTAGATTCAATCAGGCCTGGAAGGTCAAAAGGTAGAGACCAGACGAAGCCCAGTCTCACAAAGCCAGCTGCTTGGGCAACTCCTGGCTTCTTTCCTCTACTCACATCCGCCCCTGGAGAGGTCACTCCAGCAAATAAACACAGTGAGGGGCAGTTTACCGGTCAACCCCTTCCCCCCGCTAGATGGACGTAGGAGCGGGGTACCTGGGGCTTCCGCTCGACCGCGGGAGAAGTCTTCGCACTTCATTGGACAGCTACCACCCGCCCGAGCTGGAGAGACCCCCCACCAATAAGGGTTGTCCCGTCCACGTTCCGTTTGTCTTATTGGGTGCATGAGGCTAAGGGCCGATTCCAAAAAGCGGACAGACAATCAACGCACCAGCGAACAACACAATCAATTGAAATTCAAAGGCCTTGCGTGACAGATCATTAGAAGCTCCCACACGGGTCCTCCGTT